CACTGAATGACCAACAGTGGAGCTGCAGGCACAGCATGAGAGCAGCTTGGTTGTCCCAAAGCAGCTGTTTGACCGTTTCCCTTGGGTGACAAGGCATAGCGCTTGCAGCGTCTGAAGGCACGGACTCAGACGCAAATCCAAACCCTTAACTGCAGGTCCTTCCATCCTTTATACACACGCTGAAGCCCCCCCTTGTAGTTTCCCATCCATCCCTACGGGTCAGCAGAGCGCTTAACAAGTCTCCTTCACGTCTAGACACCAACTGCCCACACGAGTGCGTGCGACAATGCATGCGGCTGGGGCCAGCGCTTTGTGCAAGGGAAGCTGCCCGAGAGCTGCACGTCAGGGAGGGACTCCTTGGTCTCAGGCTCTGCTTGCTGTTCTGACTGGCTGTGAGGAACACTCCTGTGCAGTGAGACGTCACTCTGAGAGTGGGGATCTGTGGGAGAGAGGAGGGTTACATTCCTTGGAGCCAGATGTGAGTTCTTCCTTCTCTAGCGTTCTCTGGTCTCTTCTGGTGACACAGCTGGTGAGACATTGACAGAGGGACGCCAGGTCATGGGAGGGCCAGAACGACAGTGAGAGCTGGAACAGGGCCTGTGGGAGATGCCGATGAGCGTGGACTCGATCAGCCTGGTTCTCCAGGGAAGGTTTTGCCTCTCGTCTGTGCCTGGGCAGATCATGGAGCACATCCTTCTGGAGGCTGCGTTAAGGCACATACGAGATAGATTCGAGGTGATTCGAGACAGCCAGCATGGCTTCACCAAGGCCAGATCGTGCCCGAGCAATCTGGTGGCCTTCTGTGATGGAGTGACGGCTTCGGTGGACGGGGGAGGGGCGGTGGATGGACTACTACCGGCCTTCTGCAAGGCCCTTGACATGGTCCCTCACCACATCCTTCTCTCTAAGCTGGAGAGGTGTGGATGGGAAGGAGGCACTGTTGGATGGATTAGGAATTGTCTGGCCGGACACAGGCAAAGGGTTGTGATCAATGGTTCTGCGTCAGGGTGGAGGCCTGTCACAAACGGTGTCCCTCAGGGGTTGGTCGTGGGACCGGTGCTCTTCAGCATCTTCGTCGACGACACAGACGAGGGCATCGAGTGCACCCTCAGCAAGTCTGCAGATGGCACCGAGCTGAGCGGTGCGGCCGATGCACTGGAAGGAAGGGAAGCCATCCAGAGGGACCTGGACGGGCTGGAGAAGTGGGGCCATGAAAACCTGATACGGTTCAAGAAGGCCAAGTGCAGGGTGCTGCACTTGGGTCGGGACAATCCCAGGTATTGGTACAAACTGGGGGAAGATCTCCTTGAGAGCAGCCCTGCGGAGAAGGACTTGGGGGTCCTGGCGGACGAGAAGCGGGACATGAGCCAGAAGTGTGACAGCTGGACAGTGTGCCAAAGAGGTGTGTGCAGGCAAACGGTGCTGGTTTTCCCAGATGGAGGTCATAAATTTCCTTGCCTACTTGCAAAGTGTTCTCCTATTATTCCTACATAGCGTTGTATGTTCCTGCTATTACAAGATCTTTTATTAGAAATGCATTATCTGTTTCCCAAAGGCGATGCTGAGAAGCATGCCTGACTATGACTTACTTATGCATACCTCACGTTTCATATCCATTCTTCCTTTGGGTCAAAAGCAGACCAAATCCTTGAAACTGTGCCTGGGAATCCCACTGTTATTAAAATGGTTCAACCGTGGTGCCCGTGGTCAGAACAGCCTGTGGCACATCCTGGCACTGGCTGTGAGTGAAAGAACGGACAACAAATCGCTCGATATCCAAACTGATCCAGTGGATATTTACGAGCCCTGAGTGACCCGGACGGAATCTCGGAGTGGTGAGGCCAGGCACGGAAGCTGCTCCTCCTATGTTTCCTCTAAGCGTTGCTCAGTCGTTTCGCAGTGCTCTGTTAATCGTTGCAAGCCATCCTTGGCTTCACTGCGTGCATCTGTCCCATCGGTACCAGCTTTTTTCAGCACCTCGGACGCTGACTGAAAAAAACCGAATGATTTTTAAAAAGCACGACAACATCAGTTTGCTGGTTATTTATTTATTTATCTATGTACAGGTATTCATAAGCACTTAGCGCCGGTTTGGTGGGTTTGTCGAAGTTTTCCTTGGTTTTCTTCGTCCTCTCCCCCTTCCGACCCTCCCCCCGTTCCTCTTCTGACTGCGTTTTTCCTCTGCCGTCAAAAGACAGAACGGACCGCCGGGGATTGCGGGGCGGCTCCTCGTCGATGCCGTCGGAGCGGCTGTTGCCCGGTCTCCGCTGCCCCCTCGTGGCCAGTCGGCGGAACCGCGGCCGTGTTCTTTCTTTGGAGCCGCGGGCAGCACGACGCATGCGCGCCTAGATGCGGAAGGGGCGCCTCCGTGTCGTGACCGCTCTGCGCAGCGAATCCGCCAATCTTTATTGCCAGAAGTCCTCCAGACGGCCGCACGCATGCGCTCGAAGAGTACGGGACGCGCGGATGTCGGGCGAGCGTCCAAGCAGCTCGTCGCCGCCGTGGGCTGGCAGGCGTCCGCCAGCCGTCTCAAAGCGCTCTCGGCAGCAGCGCGCCGCGAGCAGCTCGGGGCTTGGCGGTCGCGGAGCTGTGGTGGAGCCGTCCCGGCACCGCAGCCTCCCGGCGCCGGCACGGAGCGGCTCCGCGGTCGCCCCAGGCGGCGCCCTGCCGGGTTTCCTAGGAGCTGCTGAACGGGCTCTTCCACCCGTGCCGTCCCGTCCCAGCCCCGACAACCGAACTCCTTCGCGTGGACCCAAGCACTAGTTCAGCTTGAACATGTTAACGTCTTTCGGTTTTCCTTTCTCTTCAAAATTTAACTCTCTTTCTGTCGGCTCCAATAATACATATCTGTCCCAGTCCTAACAGAGGCAAGTCACCTTTTCTCTGTCAGTTTCCTGTTGCACTTACAATTCCTAACTAACTGCAAATTCATCTAACAGAACAAGTTATGAAGACAGAGGCGGGGAGGGGAGAAAAAAATAGAATGACATTCTCTATGAAAAATAATACTTTATATGTTAGAGTAAGGTACGTTACACTGCTCTGCTAGACGTTAATGAGACCGTTAGCAATTTGCCACATTCAGCCAGCTCTGCCATATTCTGGACTTACAGCAACTCAGGGAGAAGCTGAACTCTTGGGAGTGGTTTGTATTCATGAAAGAGAGCAAAGCAAGCAAGCAGAAATCAGAGCTCGCGCAGTACTCCAGCAGCCCGGGTATGGGCCAGCTACAGCCCTCAAGCTGCAGTGCTGGCACCTTTAGCTGATTTCCAAGTGATATTTAGCAGGCTTGCATTTCAACAGCTGGAAACCAAACAGAGGTCTGATATGGCAGCGGGAGGGGTCACGCAAAGAGGTTACATAAGCTCTGATATGAAACTGTAGTTTGTTGGAACAGTGTGTTATGTGTACTTGTGTCAACCAAACGCAATTGATTATCCTTTTTTAATTTAAATTTAATCAATTATCATCAAGCTCAACTCCTGTGCTGCTCACATACCATCTGTAAAATCTGACTTTGTGGTATTCGCTGTTTACATTCAAGTTTAAGGGATGTTAAAATAATGACCCCCCCCCCCCCCGCCCCCCCCCCCCCCCACCTCATTGCTGCTGTGTTGTTTTTAGGCCCATCCCAGGCCATGGCTCCGTGGGTCCCCCCGCAGCACCAGTCACAGATCCAGACTGAACCAGGCCTGAACCATTAACACGCATTCTATACACATCTGTCAGTTAATGTGACTGCTCAGGCTGGGCTCACATAGCAGCCTTTCCTGGCATTTGTTGGTCAGATTTGTGTCATCGTACATATGAACAGCATTCTTCCTTTTATGTCATTTTGCATCTGAAAGGTTCTTGGCATTCTTGGCCAGAAACAATTCACATTTAGTAACATTTCTAACCTTCCCTTGAAATTCATTGAAAACATTTCCAGCTCCTTACCCACCTGAAGAGCAGCAAAGTGATAAATCACAGTTAGAAAAAAGCGATGGAGACTTCTACCTTGATCAGTACGTGTTCTGATGAATGTATCCTTCTGGTTCGTGCGTTAAGGGCTGTGGATAGTGGTAGCCCCTGCACGTAGCTTCTAGATGAGCAAGTCTCATCCAGGAGAGAGCAGTAATGTGGCTTAGAGCACAGACAACAGTTCTCTTCGTGAAGGAAAACCTGCGGCACGATGCCATGAGCCACAGCCCCTCTCTACGTGTTAGCAGGCATTTGTATGCAGAAAAGCTCCAACAGCACTACCCTCTGATCTGCTGCTTAATTGTACATCAGTAAGCTAGGCTGGCGCTCACATTCTCATAGGTTCCTGATGCAGGCTAAAGGTATAACTGCCTAACAGCAGAAATCAAGCTTTGGAGACATACTGGTTTATGAGGGGTACCCTAACACCTCTGTCAACTCCTGTGTTTCCTTCCTAGTTCTGCAGATCTCAGATATTATTTGTATTAATGATCAGTGCTTGCCTCTTGCGTTCAGCAAAGCTAACAGCATCTGAAGAGTCTGTGGGAGAGTTCCCTTTCCTAATACAAAGGGATGGCATAATGTACACACATTTTTAAAAACCTGATACTAGCATAAAATCTTCATAGCGTGAATGTTCATACTTTCAGAAGGTTTTACACAACTCTATAAGGAATAAGCTGTTCTTGGCATCTAGTCAGTGGCTTTTGCATTATTGAAAAGAACAAACAGTTCAGGTGCCTTTCTCCAGTCAGATACTGAGCAGTTTGCCTGGACGCAGGGATCCGCCTAATTACAATTGGCTAAATTTTGCATGCAATAGTGTATTTATTATTAAATGATTTTACAGTGATTAAGATAGGTCTTTGTTATCACAAATAGGTACCTAAGTTGGGATACTCCTCAAGAAGTAATGGTTGTGAAGTCAGCTCAGAATAAACTCCCTGCAGCAGCACGGCAGGTAAGTTTGTTGAAAAACTGTTCTTTAATTTTTACAAGATCCAGTCACAGATTTACTGGGACAGATATGGAGACACTGCACTTGGCTACTATGGTGAAATATAAAGACATCCGAATGCCAGTAAATACCTCAAGTATAATGTGTGTTCATTGCTTTTTCTTTCCCAGGCAGGTATCCAACAGTCTGTACTGCTCCATCTTGCTGTCTTCCAAGTCTTGCCTCTGTCATTTATTGGAATGCTAGAAATAAACAAAAAGGTAATTTCATTCTGCACTGTAGTTGTATGAGAGACATGTTTTAGGCAACTGTCCCACAGTTGCAGAAGTCATACTTAATGTTTCAGGACACAACTTTTTTTAATGAACAGTGATGTTCTTTTAGGGTCTGATAGTTGGAAGCACTGGGGGAAGAATCTTAATTCCAGAAGAGGCAATGTTAATGAATTGTTACTGGGTTACTCGTTGATGTGTTGAACTTCAGTTGTACAGTTACTGTAATTAAAGGCTAGAGAAGTGTAGAGCGCAGTGTTCTTTTCACCTCTTCATACCTAGATATGCTTCTCACCCATTTCTAGTAATAGTCTATTGATTCTATACACAGTTACAAATGACTCCAACTTGCATTATCACAGATACCAAATGGTACAGTATAAACGTCTTTATCAGACAAGAGGAAACAACCTTCCTGAGGTTGGTTTGTGACCTTCTACAGAAGCAAACTCTTAGATCGTCAAGCTGATGCAAATTCTGGTGTTCTGGTTAAAACGACATTTTAAGTCATAGGTGTTGTAGATAAATCTTACAAGTGGAACAGTACGAACGTGCAGGACCCGTCTTCGAAGTTCTGTGAGCTACAGTCTCATTTGGGGTCCAGAGTTACCAGTGGGATTTAGCTGATGCTGGGTTTGGCTAAGGCTGGGAAGTGGAAGAGGAGGTTTAAGCGTTTTTTGTTTGGACCTGTGAAAGTTTAGGTAGGGGCACTGTTCTGTTTGAACTTAGCATTTATGACTGGAAAGCACAAATTCTACCCATATCAGGGGTATTCTCCATCTTTTCATGGATGGCATGCTGGATTCATCAGGGTCATAGCAAGCAAAATGTAAAAAAAACAAAAACAAAAAAAAAACTTCTTCAATTAGGCCTGTACTGTTTATCAGAGTAACTGTTACTACTAGGAATAAGGTCAGGGTTGAATTTGAAATTTGAGAGTATGTTAATCCAAGGAAATAACTAGTGAATGCAATGCTCAGCCTGACAGGGATCGGTAGGGTGTAACTGTTAAATTACAGTTAGGATTAGTTACTCTTGAATACTACAGAATGCATATAATGCAACAGTTTTACTGAGGTGGTGTGCCACAATAAAGTCTGAGTTCAGACTGGACCTTTTTATCCTTTATGTCAAGGGTAAAGAGAGTTTGGGCTGGAAGACACTAGGACTGAAACGAATTTCAACAGAAAAAAAGAAAAAGAAAAGAAAGCAAGGTCTCAGAGGTGAATTTATCTTTCAGGACCAAACTGAAAGATATGGATAAGAATTAGGAGTATTCCAGCCTTTGGCTTTCTTTTCTTTAATTGATTTTAAGCCTATTTTGCTTGTTTCTTCCTACAGCTATTCTGAATTCAAAAAAAAAAAAAGAAAACTCTGGTCTTCCAAACATCTCAGTATAAAAAAATTACCAACTTCACATGTTGTCATTAAATATTAAGAATCAGTTTGTTCCTTGTTCTTTTTTTTTGTTTTTTGTTTTTTGTTTTTTTCCAGTGGAGATGTTCTAAAGAGTAGCACAAATGAATACTGTGTAATCTCTAAAGGGGTAATCAGCTTTTCATGTGTGTGTCTAATTTAGATTCGGAGAGGATCTGTGCTCTTGACAGCCGGATAGTTTAGTTTTAGTACAGCTGTACAGTCACAGAGGCATGGTTAGTCTAGTATTTTACCCTGGTGATGGAGAGGTTCTGCAGTCAGCACTTTTATATTGAACTGTGGGATGCTGGGCAATACAGTCTATTCATGTCTTGTAATAACTGGGTAACGTGACATGAAGATATACTCAGAATTAATTAGAGAATAAATGTTCTTGTAGAATATGACTTACCTGACACAGATGATGATGCAATGCAAAGTATTAGAGAAACTCGGCAGAACAGATGAGCTACAGAAACCTTCTTAAACTAAAACTTTGGTTATAGGAAAAGGAATCTAATTACTGAGATTATATCCTTAATTTTGGGTTTTTCATTCTCTCAGTTATTTGTTCTTTAATAGAATATTTTTCTTTTTACAGGTATTTGGTAACAATGTAACAGACGTTGCTATTTCTAATGGAATCCTGATTGGAATGTACAGCATGGGTTTGGTCAGGCTCTATAACTTCCAGGCTATCTCTGAACAGGTAATGGGAAATTTTTCATATAGTCCATGCTATTTTGTGGTAACAAATCATTAATACACTTTAACATCGCATAGGTACATGTGGATGGTGTCAAAGGATAGAATTGCCTATGTCTATTTACAGCCTGAAGATATGAATGGATGCACTATCAGAAAATTCTAGCTCTGCCAGTCACAGGTGGCAAAACATGAGAAATAGGGCTGGACAGGCATTTCAACATATGCTAGACCAGAGTGTGCTGCTTTTTATGCAGTCTGTAGTTACAAAAAAATGTTATGGTTAGAAAATGATGGGCATGGAAGTTTGCTTGATTTGAACCTGAACTGTAGGTGAACCTTTTAAGTTTGCCTTTTTCCAACTAAAAAAATCAGATGTTAATTCAAATTAAGGCTTTAAGCAGCATCTAACAAGTTAAAGAATGCAGTAGTAATGGAGCACTGAAACAAAAAAGCAAGTAAATGTGCATCAATAAAGCTGAATTGTTCTGCACTATTTTAGTTCATGGAGCAGCCATTTGATCTGGGATGTGAATTCAGTTGGAATGGTGAAGTGGGAGTTGTGGGAAAGTATCCATTTGGTCTTCCATGTAACATCAAAATAACAGGTATTTATGATCTTTGTATTATTTTCTCCTATGTGGTTTATTTATGACTTTTTAGCACCAAGAACATTAAAATTACTGTCCTAATGTGCTGTTGCTTTATTTCTGGGCTCATTATAGTACACTCCTGCTTTTCTTTACTTTTAATTGCAAGAATAAATTAAATAGCTTGAGCCATTGTGTGACTCTGTGACTTACCTAGCAAATTAGTACAGCACATAATCTGTTTTAGAAACCTCACAAGTAATGCACAAAATGGAAACACCTTTCTTATTTTTGAGAGAACTGCTCAGGGAAAGAGAAAGAGCTTCAACAGCTGCTATTGATACTTAGAAACTGTATATAGCACATAAGCAGAAGATTTAAGAAAAAAAAAGAAAATTTAATCTGACCTGCACAGAGAAGAATTCAGTGAGATAGTGTGTAGCTTGTCCAAACTGCATTTTCATGTTTCTAATGATTGGAAATGTGCCAGCTTCAGTAAGGTTAATTCCCAAGGAAAGAAGAAATGATACCTTAAAATCTATCCTCACGCCTCAAATCACTAAGTTATCAATGTTCTGCTTTATGTAATGCCTTTCATTTCTTTGAAGCCGGACATTCATCTCTACTGGTACCTCTAACATTAGAAATTGATTTTAATAAGAATCTTAATAAATGACCAAAGGCTGTGAAACTTTTTTTTCCTTCAGAAATTCTAAAAAGTTCAAGTGAGACAATTGAGGTGGGAGTAAGTTTCTCCAAAATCAAATAAGGCATGCTTTTTTCCTCTAATTCTTGAAGGATTCTGTAGTAAATACTTTATAGGAGGCTGTTCCCATAAAATGTTTTTCATCTTTATGTTTATAAACAATATTAGATAATAGCATACAAACAAAAACTGATTCACATAAACTTGAGGAAGTGCACAAAGATAAAATGCAGAATTAATAGTTAAAGCTTTCAAGTATAATGCATTGTTTTATCAAAACAGTGATAGGCTACTGTATTTGATGTCTCCTTATTTCTCCTTATTTTCCTCTCTGCTAAACCAGAATGTAATGCTATAGGCCCTTTGGAAAACACTGTGGGAGCTTAGAAAGGAATTCTACAGTGGATATGTTCTCGTGTCTTATGAATCACTGTAGTTTTTGGTTATGATATTCAAAACCCATGTGCTGGGGGAGAAATGTTTTTGATCTTGAATTATATTTAAAAATTTGTGGGCAGGAAGCTTTGAACTTAGATGAACATTTGCCGTGGCTGCTGTTTGCAGCTAGCTGCCTTCCTGTGGGTTTTTTTGTGGAGCTGTTTCTCTTCTAAGAGTGAAATGGCTGACCGACCCTTCAGTGTAATGTAATGCTTCAGTGAGTAAGATTTTAACAACTTCAGAGTTTAAACTTGTATTTACTGTAATTTAACTGTTCAAAATGTTCCTACTTATGTAGTCTACTGTCCCTACAGAAATTGCCAGAAGGGATGGCAATTCCTTCAAATATGATGCTATTTTTATGGTGTATGAGGTACTCAAGAGGAGGTATAAAGAGATATAAACACATGCATTACCTTGTACCTACCACAACTTTTATAGCTATTGACTGGTAAGGAATTTAATTTTGGCCCCGGTTGAAAGAAAAGGTAACTATAGATCTTCATTATGTCATCTTCTGAAGGACCAGCATGTAAAATTGCAATTTGATTGATTATCATAGGATTCAGTAAATTCAATTAACAAAAAACAAATTAGAACAAATGCATGTTAGTGCTGCCAAGAACAACTTTGTGGCTTATGTTTAGACGAGACTTGAGAGTTCTAAGGAAATGAACAAAGAGGCTTAACTAAGAGACTCAAAACTTGCATTGCTAGGGGAAGGACTCAGGAATAATGAAAACAAAATGTTGAGCAACAAGAGTAAGTGACACATAACAGTGATGGGGAGTTGAAGCAGCAGCCACGCTACTGCAGAGGTGGCTGCAGCCTTACAATTTTTTTGGCAAAGGAGCATAAAAAAGAAAAGCATACCTTAGCAGCAGCCTGTACTGCTTCAGAGGGTTGTATTGCTGGAAAAACATTTATGCCTACCATTTAGTCCATCCAGTAGAATTTTTGATGGGCCTTATTATATATTCATTATTTAAAATAAAAAAGTCTACAAAGTGAAATGTTACAAGTTTTCTTGACCTATTTTTCATCTTCTGACAGATGTTAATAATTGCAGGTCCTCTGCTTATGCCTCCATCCTCAACATTCTCCATACTTTCTTACCTCAGTTTTCATAAACTGTATACTTTGTTCCATGTCTCACACAGTCTCCCATTTCCTATGTGCTAGTGCAAAAGACACCTAGGAAGAGAAACTTTCTCTAGCTCAAGAAAAACTTCATTTTCATGGACAGCGAAGTGATTCCTTTCTGTATAAAGGGCTACGTTCTGGGAAATATGAAAGAAAAAGTGGGAAGCACTATGTAACCATAATTACTGATACCATGCAAAATCTTGGCACCATCAGCTATAGTCTGGTTAATTATCCAGACCAAGCAGGGCAAGGACAAGACAAAATTTGGATCAGAAATCCTTGGGAAAAAGAAAGTCCAGATCAGAACCTTGCCCTCCTCACAGTAATTCAGTTTGAGTATTTACATTCTGTCTGCTTAAATTCCCTCTGCAGATTTCCTCCATGTTTTGTCCTTCTTTTTCTTCCTTCTGTTTCTTTTTAATAAGCATTTCTCTGTACAAAAAAGACAAAATGTTAACCTCCATTCTGATCTTC